CCCCAAAACCCCAAAACCCCAAAACCCCAAAACCCCAAAACCCCAAGATAAAAATTTCAATTGATAATATTAATTAAGTGAATGAAACAACTGATAATAGCTCTTTTACTTCTGGTAACGAGTACTTACACCCAAGAAGCCAACTATTGGGCACTAACAATCCAAGAAAGAGCTGAAAATATGGGACTTACCTATGAACAATATGATGTCACCACTCAAGATGGATATATTCTCACATTGATGAGGATTTACATGGACCCTTTAGTTGATGACAGAGTAAGTGATCTCGATTCTTCTATATAAATAAACCTGTGAAGAATAGAAAAGGATTCAGCAATGATCCTCTCTAGCAAAGCCTGAATTTATATTCCAATTTCTTCAGAGGATTAAACATGTTTCTTTGGGCACCAAATTTTGACCATTTATTTTTAGGTGCTCTTTATGGCTCATTCGTTTCCAGATTCTGCAGAATCATTCACTTATGTGGATGAAGGAGAGTCTCCTGCATTTTACCTTGCTAGACAAGGTTTTGATATCTGGCTATATAATATGAGAGGGAACAGATATAGCAGAAGACATGAATCTCTTCCAGTTGGTGCAGGTAATAAAATCCTACAGTGCTAAAATGTTCTTGTTTGATCATTATTGCGAAGTTCACTGTATTTACATCATATAGGATATGGAGTCAACCGCCAGTACTGGGAGTTCCACATGGACACAATTCGATTCGATTACATGGCCTGCATTCAATTAATACTCGACACAACAGGTAATTCCAAGATTCCTGTGTTTGGCCATTCATTCGGAGGTGAAACGTTCTTGATTGCTCTGGCTCTTGAACCTGACTTCTTTGCTCAAACTGTATCCTTGGCTATTCTTGCAGGAGTTCCAACAGTACTAAGAGATACTGATTACATTCCATTTATCCTTTTAGGAGATTACCCACAAATCCTGAATATGATGATGCTGAATGGATTTAACATATTCATGAACAACAACCCAATTTTCTCATACTTCATTCATTTAAATTGAGCTATCTTCCCTCTTTACTGTGACGGACTGAACGGGTTCTTGGTTGGGGAAGGACACCCATTTGACCTTGATGAAGACGGAATTGAAGTCTTCATGTCAAGAACTCTTGACGGAATTGGCATCCCATTACTCCAACATCTATTACAAAGCTTGAGAACTGGAGACTTAACATATTTTGATTATGGACCTGAAAACAACTTCGAAATTTATGGATCAGAAAATCCTCCTGAAATCCCTCTTGAGAATATAAATGTTCCTATTGCTCTAATGTGGGCAGAATACGACAACATTGTAACTAACAATGGTGTGGAGTGGCTTACAGATCAAGTGAGTGATAATATTATCTTCGAACATACGTACCAAGAGTAAGTAACTCATCTAGAATCCTACACCCCTTTAATCCACTCTCCTCAGTCAAAACTTCCTCTACAACCCTCACATTCCCTAACCTCTCACAGCTACAACCACTTATCATTCATCATCGGTAACAACATGGAGCCTTACCTCGACGACGTAATCGATCTCACAGAATCTTACCCTCCAGAACCCTAACTCTCACACCTAAATCAATACCTAAATTCCTACTAAACCACAAATTTCTCTTCATAAATATTTCAAACTATTCATTCTTACCTCTTCTCCTCCTTCTTCTACTACGGCTCCTCTGGGCTGGCCCAGAGGAGCCGTAGTAGACTCAAGGAAGATTATATAGGTAAAGACTAAGAATTATTAGAAAGTTACTTGGAGAGAGGAACTTTGTACCAAAAATTGGACATTTTTTTAGAAGTGACTGGGAAGAGGGGAAATTGGGAGGAAGAAGGAGAATTAGTGGGTGGAGGAGGGGTATGGGGATTCAGAGGATGGGATGATTAATTGGAGGGGTGGATAGGGGATGGTATTCGAGTTAGAATAGTGAATGGTTGGGAGTTGGGAGTGTGGGTGGAATGAGTGCTAAGTAGTGGGTATGTGAGGCTAGAGGTGGTACATCTAGCTATGATCAATTTGGAATATTAAATGAACTCCATTCCCCATCTAGCTGATATTATTCAGATTTGGTAAGAAGGAAAAGTATTGTCTTAAGAGGAGTTTGAAGAAGTAAAGAAGTGTTCTCACATCTCTGATAATAAGAGAGAGGACCTCTTTATTTCTGTTTATTTTGATATTATTTAATTAAAACTGGTAATACTCATAAGCATTGATATCTAAAGAAGAATCTTCCACTTCTCTCTACATCTGCCCTGCATTGTTCTCAGCCTCCTGCTTTAAGTCCATCAACTTATTTCCAAATATATTGCTTTCCATATTTTGGTGATGGTACAAATTTAAATTCAACCTAAAAGAGCAATCTCGGGGTTTTGGGGTTTTGGGGTTTTGGGGTTTTGGGG